TGCTTATCATCAGAAGAATCCGGCCTTCTTTGAGGTCCAGGAAACATCATCATCGGAGGTGGTCCTGGGAAAGGTCGCGGTATCGGTGGAGCTCCAGGCCCGCGTCCATAACGTCGATACCATTCATAATATTCACATTCTTCTTCATAACGTCGTCTTTCTTCCCAATACATCATTTCTTCATCCATCATTGGACCCATAGGTCCTAATTGATTAATTTCTTCTCTACGGCGTAGATACTCATCTCGCATTTGTTGCCTACGTAATTTTTCTTCTAGCATTTTTCTTTGTTTCAGACTTGGTTTCATATCAACAACTAAATCTGGATTAACTTTTTTCTTATAAGCAAATCTATGCCGCCTTCCTTTCATATGCATATCTTTGGCATTAGGATCATTAAATCTGCATTCACAAAGCTTACAATTAAAACTTATAATTTTTCCATCTTCTGATTTATTTTCCTCTATATATTCTTGACCAACTGGTTGAATATCTTTTTCATCAACAGCTGTTTCTTCTACAGTTTCCTCTGTTGCAGTTTCTTCAGATTTAATTTCCGCAGTTTGATTTTGATTTACAGTTCCCAAATTTCCAGCTTTAAATATACATAATATTATTAATAATAAATTTTCAATTTGTTATAATATTTATATACAATTTAATTTAAAACTTTGTATTTATAAAAAAAATTACTTACAAGCAACAAAGTTAATTTTAGGAGTAGCTGTTACTGTCGGTTTCTTAGCTCCTGCTGTTTTAGCTGCTGCTGCTGGTTTTGGATTTAAGACAGTTGGATCTGCACTTGGTATTGGTTTTCCAAGTTTAGTATGTAACTTAACGACCTTTTGATGTTTTGCTCCTCTAATATGAGCAGCATATGCATCATTTCCAGTACAAGTAACATCACAAAGTTCACAACGCAGACTGTTGCCTGCTCCACGTGCCGGTGGTTGTTGTGGTACTTTCAGAGAAGCTTCCTTCTTCTTATGCTTCTGACCCTCCAGATGTTCACGATATGTTTGAGGTCCAGCACAGCTGATCTTACAGACATCGCAATAGTGTAGTTGTTGAGGCTTAGGAGGCTGCTTGGGCCGCATTGCCTTCATTCCTCCCCCTCCAGTGCCAAATCCCTTCCGTCCGTAGCCCTGCCAACCTCCAGTCTTCTGGTTAGTTGAATTGCTGTTTGCACTCTGTTGGGCTACATACATAGTCGCAGCGCTATATAGCGCTGCGTCGTAGCCGGAATACGTTGTACTCGCCGTTTCTAAGGGAAATGAAATTGAAACCTCAAACTTTGGAGGAGTCAATCCTTTATATTCATGAAACAATTCTACTAACTTGTATCCATCAAAATGAATTCATTCTTTTGATGAAATTATCAAGTATATTGTATAATAATCAAAAAATCTTTATACGATATTAATTTTATAATTTCAAAAAAATTCAATTTTGCTAAACTTTTAAACCACATTATGATTTAAAATGTTAGCAAAATTTTATATATCATCCATATGTACAATTTGAACAGCCAGAGGATCAATTTCATGTTATTAGTGCCTACGTCACGGTTAGCAGGACATTTACATAGGATTTTCAATTTTGGCGAAAAATATTAACATATATATACATATAATGATTTAATGAAAACTTACTATTTGTCGCTGTTGATGGTGTAGCAGCGGGTGTAGCAGGTGCTGTATATCCAGAAGAATATGTAGCACTTTGAGTAGGATTAGATTGTTGATAAGCTGTACTTGAAGCTTGGTATGTTTTAGCTTGTCCAGTAGTAGTAGCTTGTCTTGCTGTACCCGTGTAAGCACTAGTTGTACTATATGCAGGTTTTGCAGCTTGATAATGTGTCTCTGTAGTAGTATAAGTGGCTGCAGCAGCAGCAGGTTGTTGGTAGTAAGTTTTAGCTGCGTCGTATGTAGCTGCAGGAGCAGCACGTCCGTAACCGTAATCGTATGTTTGAGCCACAGTACCAGGATTAGCAGCTATAAAGAAAAACAGAATTAGATAGATTTTAAAATCCTTAACACATGAGAGTTGTATACTTAATAGAAAGAGAAGAAAAAAGAAAATAAAATTAATCAAAATAAACTTACCAGCGTATGTTGTCCCAGTAGCAGCTGCAGCAGCGGCTGCTTGATAGGTTTCGTAACCTGTAGCTGCAGCGGCAGCAGGTCGTTGAGTGTACGTGGCGGCAGTTGCCGCTGGAGTTACTGCGTATCCCGCTTGACCAGTCTGATAAGCGGCTGCGCTGGTCGCTCTGTTCAAAAGAACAATAGGTTTTCTTATATACAAGGAATAAAATGAGAAATGGAAACGGGCAAAACGAAAAAGACCTCTATCGGATCCGTGCCCGGGAGAGACGCTCGATGGACGCTCTACTCTCAGCAAGAAATGGCGGCCAAGCCGGCTGGGCTCTCGCGTGCACCGATTTTAACGAACAGTTATTACTCCCGCCAACGTAGTTACCGTCACGATTTTTCGAAAAACTTAACACTAACTACTTAATAATTATGGTATGCAATCGATTTCGTACCCATATTGCGTTCCGCCGTGAGTAAACCCAAAATAATTGTTCTGAGCCATCCTTCCTCGCAGAGAATCCCGGAAAGAAGGACAATGGAGGAAGTTGTAGGGCGTGCCACGAACTCGATAGAATGGCGGCGCTGCCGCGGCTCCTATTGGTTATTCTGTTGGAGCCGGGCGCAACAATTGCAAGAATGCCGCGCCCTCAGTGGCCGCTTCCACGAGAACCCTGCGTCGTCCTCCGACAAACTACCTCCGCGCAAATCAACGCGCTACCGTACTAGCCAGAGAAACTACCGCGAGAAAGTATTCACGAAGCGGACAGATGTATACGGTTAATTGAAACTTAACTTACTGCGTATTTCTCGTTATCTCCGTTTTCCGGGGTAGTATGTAGTTTGCGTAATTTTCGCGGCTGGTGCGTGTTGCGGCGAACGTCCGGCGTGCGCAAGAAAGGGCTAGTTTGCCGGCGACGCGTGCGTTCAACGAATTATTTTTGTCGCCCCCTAGTAGTAACTACACCTATCGTTTAGAATTGAAGCGCTCTCTAGTAGGTTTTATTATAATTCTAATGGAATTCTTTTCCATTCGCACAATAAATTTAAACTCAATATTCTCCTTCATTATATCAGCATATATTTGAAGTATTATTTTATTTAATCATACAAAAACAGGATACAACATGCCATCGCAATTAGCAACGAAAAAGCATGCTAAATATTTCCAGAGGTTATTACAAATAATGCCCAATTGTTCAGCAGAATTTGACTGTTCTAGACTTGCAGTAGCATTTTTTGCTATATCAGGATTAGATATATTAAATTGCTTAAATGATCTTAGCGAAGAAACAAAATTAGAAGCAATTAACTGGATCTATAGGCTTCAAGTAACTGGAGCTGGACCACGTTCAGGTTTTCAACCTTCTACAACAATACCAAAGGATGCTCCAAAATATCAATGTGGTCATTTAGCAATGACATATATTGGATTAGTTACTCTTTTAATTCTTGGTGATGATTTAAGTCGTGTTGATAAAAAATCCATTATTGAAGGAATGCGAGCTTGTCAAAATCCAGATGGATCATTTACAGCTATTATAACAGGATGTGAAAGTGATATGAGATTTCTTTATTGTGCTTGTTGTATATCTATAATTTTAAATGATTGGTCAGGCATTGATAAAACAAAAGCAATTGATTATATTTTAAAAAGCATTGTAAGTTTTTATCTTTTTGTTTTTATATTTTTACATATAAAGAGTATTAACAAAAATTGGCTTTGTCTACTTAATTTTATCATAGCACAATATCTCAACAATGATTATAGTCATATGATGGAGCAATGGGCCAAGGACCTGGTCTTGAATCACATGGAGGATCTACATATTGTGCTGTAGCTAGTCTATTCCTCATGAATGAACTTCATAATGTATTGACAAATGATCAATTAAATAGACTAAAAAGATGGTGTCTTATGAGACAAGATAGTGGCTTTCATGGACGACCTGGAAAGCCTTCTGATACTTGCTATAGTTTTTGGGTGGGTGCAACTCTACAAATGCTTGATATTAATAAATTATCAGATCCTGATAAGAATAGAGCATTCCTTCTTGAAACTCAAGACAGTATTGTTGGAGGATTTGGAAAGTTTGCTGATTGTTTGCCAGATCCTCTTCATACATACTTAGGTATGTAAAAAATAGAATATTTAAAATTTTACAATAAAAATAATATGAATATTTGGTGATTTTTAGGTTTTAGGTTTTTATGGATTTTTATAATTTTTAGGTTTATGTGGTTTAAGCCTTTTAGGAGAAACTGATTTATGTATAATGAATGCTGCTCTTAATATCTCTGATCGAGCATACAAACATTTATTAAAAATTCAAGAGGTATGGTAATATATTTAACAATCTATAAAATATTTGCAGCAACCAAATCTCATATCAAACGCACAGAGTTAAAGCAGGAAGGAAAAATAACATTTTTACATTTTATCATGAATTCTATTTGTAAAGTTCTCACAGATTCTCTGTGCTTAGAACCATTATTCTAAGAATGTCAATTAATAAAAATATTATGATTTTAAAATATGTTATTAACTATTCTGTTTTAATGAAGACACTTGGTAGATATATATCTAAAATATGTCATATTAAAAATAACAAAAGAATTAGTAGCAATTCAAATACATCTTAAATTGTCATTATATATAAATTTTAAAAATTCTAATAAAAACAAAAAAATATATATATAAATAGTTCTAATCTAATGCCTGTCATCATAATAAAAATGTGCAAAAATTATATATATTTTCACTTTTTATAGAACTAAAATTAACATTTAATGAATGTAGTATTTATTTAAAAAAAACATTTTACTACCGTTAAATTGAGAAGTTTTGTAGTCATATTTCTTCTTTTTCTCGTTCACAACAACCCCATCAACGAATGAACGCGTACTACGAAGAAAACTCCTTGACACTACGAAGTTGCCCGAGTGTAGCTGCCACATGCGCCCCACCTCGCGGAATGATGATTCCATGGTAACCGGGGTGGGTTCGCAGATCACAACAGACGACGTTCGTTCGTTCATTCGAAGAGACTGTGTAGTTCGAGAAAAGCGTGTTTTATTATTGCCGGTGTTTCTCGTTTTTTTTTGTGTATTTGTATATTGTGTTCAATTATCTTTCATTTGATAAAATATTTTAAAAGCTATCAGTGAAATTTTTTATGTATATGCAAACGAAGTGGAACGCAAACAAAATAGTAGAATAATATCTATCCTACGGTCGTTGGAAAAGAGAAACTTCATTGTCAAGTGTTGGGGTCGCAGTCGCGACCCAGACATCAACCGAGGTTAGTGCGCGCTCAAAATTTAAATTAATTTATTATGAACAAAACTATTTCTTCATCAAGAATGAAATCGCTAAATAATCTAAATTTAAAACAAATAAATTTACCGTCGGATAGATACGCATGATCGAAAAGAACTTGTTCAATGTAAAATTCGTAAAATGTTAAATGCTATTTTTAAATATTTCATTTTAATATTTTTTAATATAAATTAATATTATATAATATAATATATAATATTATAATAATATAATATTTATTTTCAAAATTTTATATTTCATTAATTCATTATGATATACTTTGTGATGATATCATATCCATCTTATCGAAGTAAACTAAACAAAAAAATATTCATAATACAATAATATATATACATATGAAATTGTTGAAAATATAATTAATATAAAATTCACAGAAATGAAAAAAGTAATAGTTTTTGTAACATCGCATACATATTCTTGACGTAATATCGAATCTCATAAAAAGGAAAGTATGTAATATAATGGAAACTTGAATTTCGCAAAAGCGACGAGTTCGTTTAATTGCGTCACTTAGTCATGGCCGAACGGATGTATGTAACTTAATTCCTTATATGTACGGTTGACACAATAAAAATGGTAGATATCAAAAATGTAATAAAGTAATATAAAAACTCCTCAATATATATATATATATATATATATATATATATATTTAGAATATAACAGCCAAAGTTCCAAGATATTGTGAATTAATCGATTATCAGCATGAAATTTTCCACAATACATGATTTTCATCCACGCGGCCGCGTATATCCAAAAACAAATAGAAAAAGAGAACACAAATATAAAAGCAATATTTTTTTTTATTTAATGTAAATCATATTTTCGTCATTTTATGAATTATGAATCCATATATAAATAGGTAATTTTTTGTATGAGTTACCGTACAATGAATGAAGTTGTTGTACAACGGGCATTTTCATACTGTATATACTATACTGTTTCTAATTACCAGACCATGATTCACATTTTTATCGATCATTTTTAACTCCGTGAATTCATCTCATACGTTCACCAATAATCGCGGCAACTACATTTGCGATACATAACGAGCTGATTCGCGTTACATCAATCAATCAACTTACTTGAATTATATGCTACATATAAATTCTATAGTTTCATTTCGCCGAAGCAATTCGAACTATGTGTTTAATATAGTAAAATTTTTAAGACAATTGTAAATGTTAAGAATAAAATAATTGTTTATGATGTTTTACAATATTTTTGAGACATTGTTGATATAATTTAAAATTTTATTATTATATCATGCTTACGATCTTCGGCCTTGAATAAGCTATATATTTAAAACAGATAGTAGCGACGAAAATATGTCCCTCCTATTGTTTTGAAGAATCCAATATAAATTTACTTTTTCTGTTTATTTTTTTTTATTTTATTTTATTTTATTATATAATAAAATATTTAAAGATTAAATATTTTTATATATTTTATTATATTTTTATTACATTCCATACGAGATCTCATTTGTACAATCATAGTATGAGAAATTAATATTCAAAAACGACCACTGTAGACGACCAAACAGGAATATTTTTTAAAAGTTGTATTTAAGAGGAACGTGTGACCTTTGTGGATAGAGCATAATCCATCTCGTAACTGTCGTGTGAGCACGTGCGCATCTCGTATTCGACATGTGCGTTTATACACACATAAAACTGAACACATCGATCGAAGGGCAGGTGGTGGGTATATTCTCAGACAAGATGCTCAGTTTAACAAGAAGGTTCGTGCCAGTTGCACAGCTGTCGGTGTGACAGCTGCATCTTTTGAAGTAAAAAGAAAAACGTTAAGGAAATCGAAAAGTGAAAAAAAGAAGGGAGTTTTTGATTTGAAGTCGTTTTGACAATTCGTTATTTTTAAAATATTAAAAAATATATTAAAGAAAATAAGTTAAAATAAAATTTGATTGATTTAATATATATATTGAATTTGAATATATAATATTTTGTGAAAAAATAAATATTTTCGTAAATTTATTTTTATAAATACACACACACACATACACACACACACACACACACACACAACAATGAAATATATAATTTATTATAAAAAGATAGGTTAGTTTCATTTTTAAATTATTTTATAATAATGATAAAAATTTAATACTTCGAATTATTGAAACATGATTGGGACATATAAATCAACATAGAATAGTTTATTTTTGCATGGCATTAAGACGAAAATTTTTTAGTTTCGTAAATTTAATGATACGTAATAAACCGCTATGAAGAAAGAATTAATTCCACTCTGAAATCGTTTGATAAAGATAACAATAATTAATTTTTCTAAATTATTAAATGAGTTAAAAAAACACAAATAATAAGAATTTCAATTCCTTTAAACTTATTAAGTTTATAGGATATATAATTGAATAATAATAATCGAATATTTTCTCTGATCTGTAATCTGATCATCGATATCTTAAATTACGAATGAATTATCAAGGTATGAAAAATAAAATTTTCATATTTCCTATTTTATAATTATAAAATTTATTTTAATCAAACTATTAAAATATTTTCGATAACAATGATATTAAACACAACTATATTTAAATATTTATTCATTTAATGATAAAATATTAATGATAATAATGATAAAATATAACTCATTATATTTTATTCATTAAATAAATTAATATATTATGATAAATATTATAATAAATATGATCTAAATTATATCATTTTAAGCAGAAAAATATAATAACATTTTCATATTTATATTTCAGTATTGAATTTTTCTTTATTTCTTTATTTCATTCAATATTTCTTATTCTAATCTGCTATATATTTAAAAAACGAATGAACTGAAGAGAATTGATAATCAATCATTTCTAATATATTTTTGTTGATAATAAATGCATACCGGATTTAAACTATGACTAATAAGCGAGAAGTATTGGAAATATTGACTTAATTGTATTACTAAAGAGGTTAGAAATTGAAAAATAATAATAAAAAATAAAAAAAAATTTTATCAATAACATATAAATAAATTATTTTTTTCGAATAAATATTAAAAAATCTTTGATTAATTTTTTTTACATGATTATTTTTAATTAATAAAATTTTTTAATTTTGCAGATTTGATCAATGACAAAAATTTTTCTAAATTCAAATACAATACAATTGCCTGCATTTTAAATTTCATTTTCAAACAAACAAAAGATAAATGTGATATGCAAATATGATGCGTATACATTCTTAACATTAAAAAATTATATATGTTAGAAAATATAAATTATTAGTTATATCTTTCAAAGTATTGCGATAATATAAAGTAAATAACTAATTATAGCAATGACAAATTTCCAATCTACTTTGACTATCTCTATTTTACCTATATTTTATAATTTTTTCATAAAATAGTTGTCTTTATTCTATATTAATTTACTTAGAAATAAAAATGTGAAAAAATTAATATTAAAAAAAAATATTTAAAAAAATTGTAATAATTATAATTTTTAAAAAATAGAATATAAAAATAATATATCATAAAATAATAATTTTATAAGTTTAATTTTAATAATGTTAATTATTTTAATTATTATATATTTAATTAAATTTTTTTTTATTAAGAATTATATAGTATTTGTTATTCTAAATAATCTCGATTATATGTCATATCATTAAATTAACAGTTCATATATACATTAGTCATTCGTGACTCATCATGTTCGATAGACGTAAGTTTATCGTATGTTTAATATTTAAGCGAAGCAAGAAAACGGAATTATAGAAAATCCACGGAATCATTAATTTCGTATAAATAAAGATCAAAATAGAATCTTTTGATCTGTTTTATAAATCTATTAGCAAAAGCTCTTTATTAAATTTCATTCGATATATTATATGTATTATTTCTTATTTTGTTTTATCGAATTTTCTTAGATTAGAGTAAAATTCAGATAAAAATATACATATTAATCAAAAATAATTTATAACAATATTTTGTTTATATATGTGTGTAAAATAAATGGAACTTGAAATCTGGAAAATTATTGCGAAGAATGTAGTTTCCTTTCCTTTCCAGGGCAACATTTAAATAAAAGAAAGTAGATCATTTTAGAAAATATATTTCAATTATAGAAATCTTGTAATAAAAACAAAATTAGTAATTTGTTATTGAAAAAATTATAAAATGATAGTTTGATTTATGGAAGACTATTTTGATTTTTAAAGATTGGACTATGAATTTGACTTGTAGAGATAAAATAGTACACTTAAATAACTAACTAGTAAATAATTCAGAAAATAAATTTATATTTCGATTTGTAAATATTTTTAAGTTTATAAAAATTTGTATAAATACAAAAAATTATAACATAATTTTTAAATTATTTATATTTTTTTTATTATTCTAATTGTTTTTTTTGTAATATTTTATATATATTTATATAATATTATTATAATAACTTTTTAATTTTAAAATTTTAGTAGATAAAAAAAATTGATTTGCTATAATACCATTTATTTATTTTTATTTTTTATATAATATATGAACGATCTCTATGAGATTGATCTAAATCTTTTTAATGATAAATCGAAACATTAGATTGAATTACGTGTAGAGATAATGATTTCACTGTTTCGATAAATCGAATGCGTTTAAAAGCGATTTTGACATACTAGTATAAGTGAATACTCTTTTTATAAGTTAAAATCTTTAGAAGTTTGATTCAAGATTAAATGAAGACTTTTTTAAATATTCAAATATTTGACTGATATTGACTGATATTGATATCAAGATTATTCCATCACGTACATTTATTTCATTTACAATATTACATCGACAAACGAGAATGAGAGTCTCTGGCTTGCCTTGACGCTCCTTACAAATCGATCCAACTTCCATATGGCTATACCTTTTCGATGTGTATATATGTGCGTTTGTATACATATATACGATTATGTCTTGCGACAACAAACTACAACGCACTTTACGTTCCATTTCCAGTGTATCGAGTTTGACCTCAGTTACTGACATAAATTGCACGAATGAGGGAGTATATGTGCTTCAACCTATTTAATCCTTCACCCGCCAATTTTTCTTACTTTCTTTTTTACATATATTCATATCAATTTTGTAATAATATAATTTATTCTGTAGTAAAGAAGTAGAGCTTAATAATGAAATTTTTAAAAATAATTTAAAAAATCTGGATACTTTGTTTATTTGAATAATTTTTATAATTGTTGAATTAAATTTAAACATCTTCATTTAATAATGAATATGTTAAAGATATTTTCAATTAATTTAAAATATAATTAATTATATTATTATATTTTATATTATATTTATTAAATAAATTGTATTATATTCAATTTAAATTCAAATTTAAAAATACATAAATTTTGAAATTTTAAAAATTTTTTAAATCATATTGTACATATATATATAATATTTAATCAGAAATATATAATTGCATTTAGTTCGCATTTTATTTTTATATTTAAATAAATAATTGAATCAGAAATGATAATAATATTTTTATAAGTCTTCTAATTTATGAAGTTTCATTTTTATTATTACTAATTAAAATTTTGCAATAAAAATAAGAATAATTTTAGCATTTATTATAAATCATTTTATTTGTAAATATAATTTTATTAATTAATTTAATTTTATTATCTTTATAATTTAATAAAGAATAAAATAATTTTTATATCATATTTTCTATATACTAATATATTAAATATATTTTTTCAGGTGGCGTGGGGTACGGCAGTAATGGAATTGCAGAGCTGGCTGCTCTATCATCTTGTAGCCGTAACCGACTGCAATCAAGGTACACAAATGTTAACTGTATGATGCTCTGATTCGTTCCCACGAATAAGAACACAAGCACGAACGCATTTGCACAACACGCAACATCATTCTATGTTGCTCATTTAATTTCTGAATATAATATTGTTTTATACATGTATATTTTGCATCAAATTATATTGATTCGTTTTACATCCTTGCTTATTTTAGTTACTTTTGCCTGAGTTTCGACTGTGCTCACAGAACACTTCTTTATTTCATTCATAATCCCGTTATCGCCTAGAGGAAACAGCGGTCTACCAATGTTTGATGGTAAGTTCTGATCACACGCACATTATATATACTATTATTTTCACAATATGTTGATATATCAATAAAATAAATCTTATTTTATATTACTTTAATCAAAATAAATATATTAAATATTTTAAAAAAAATTCTAAAATAATAAAAAATCTATAAATTAAAGTTTGTATTATAGATACATATATATATATTGATATATATTGTATACTAATATGAATGTGAACATTAATATAATTTTGTATCCTTTATTTTTTATGCATAATATCATATATATCATATATGAGGAAGTTCTTCTTTGAATTCCATATTATTAATCCTTGTAGAATTTTTTACCAATTTTTCTACAAATTTCCAATATTTATTAATTGCAAATTTATAATCTTATTTTATGATAATTATGAATAAATAATTTTTGACAAATCCATATGTATATAAAATCTTACGACTTTTTAAATACTTACATATTATATTCACAATTTTAAATACTTACATTATACTATTATAATATACATACAGAGAAATTAGCTTTGTTAACTTTTTTAATAATGTAATTGTATAAAATTTATTCAACAAAAGAACCATTATTCAACCCCATCTTGCCAAGCAGATGGTACAACACTTGTAATTTTTTTTTCAGTAATGCAGTCGGCGACTACATTGAACGGGGGATCTTATCCCGCCGGAGGCACCGGAAGTCGTGCTCGTGATTTAGGTCTCCGAGCACAAAAAAAACTTCTCGGTAGAGTCGTATCTACAGGAGCCGGAAGATCACTGTTGATAGATGATGCTACTACATCACTTCTCGATAATCTTTATAAACTTATGGAAAGAGCTGCAAAAACTAATCCTAGTTTAGACAAGAAGCAGCCTGAAAAGGTTTTAAAGAATATTGTTAAATTATCCATTAAAGTACGTGTTCTTCTCTCTATACTTATTGATATAAGTGCAATTGTGATTTTTTCAACAAGATTTTATCAATATGTCTATTTCATTTAATACATCCATTCTAGGTGGGTCTTCTACAGCGTAATCAACAATTAAACGTTACCGATGATGCAAAACTCGCCGAAATAAGAACTGCCCTTAGAGCTGTAGCCATGTCTGTGGTTTCATTTTATGAATTAGAATTCAGTTTCGATAGGGCGTATTTAATAAAATCATTAGAACGATGCAGAACTGCAATACAAACATTTATAAAACCACATCTTACAGATAAATCTCAAGATCGATGTGATCAAGTGTTCGATTTCTTAACGCATTCCGATTTTTTGGATTCCGTTTTTAGGCAAGATTCGGAACATAGACCTATCCTTGGAATGCTAGTTAGTGATATAAATAAGGCCTTAGATGCTGGGCATCTTTGATTTTTTTTAAAACGCGACTGAATTTTTGCAATCAATGGGGAGCATGAACGAAAATTATACTTATATTTGCTAAAAGATAATTAAGGGAAGATAATAACTTTCCTCCCTAATTATTTTTTGAAAAAAAAAAAAAAAAAAAAAAGAAAGAAAAAAAAATCAAAAAAAGAAATCCAATGTATGTGTGATATCAATTATTTACAGTCGCCTGTATAATAAAAAATAATGATAAATATGTTTTTGATATGAAAGGATTTTGAAATATGATGTTTTCCGTGAAAATCGATCGATTTCACAGTAGTGCTCACCAATTTATGCAATAATTGTGAAATACTCTATTTATTTTCAGAATGTATATTGTTATGATCAGTATATTTATTTACAATACTTATACGTTAGAATACCAATTGTCAATCTATACCAAAAAAAAAAAAGAAATGAGCTTATTTATACCCAAAAATGGGTTTATAGTAATTATGGTAGATTATGTTAATCTTAACAAAATAGCGTATCAAAAAAGCAATTTGTCATTACTGAGAATGCACTAAAAAATATGTGCTCTAAAATATTCTTTTTATTCGTCAAGCTATACTCTGACATATCGACGAGTAATTTATGAAGATAAATTTTCTCCTGTTACTATACGCCTCAATACATTTTCGACACGACATATCTAATATAGTGGCTAAGCCTCGATAATTGAATTGAAAAATATTTACATCACATGTATTACAAGTATGTCGCAGTGTTGCGTGTTTTGTATAAATTATACACTCTTTACACATTATTTGTGATGATTCTAAATGAAATAAAAATCTTGTATTGATATATATTAATAAATTATTTGTAATAAGAGGAATTACTTTTTCCCTGAATATTTATTTCTAATTCTTTTAAAGAAAAACTGATAAACACAATTGTAATTAATGATTTGATATATTTATTTACATGAATTATTTAACGCACACACTCGCACGCACATACATAAAATTAATGTAGTTTATTCATCTATCAAATAGCACTGCCTGTATGAAATATTTAATATTTTAAATATCAAATAAAAGTAAAGAAATAACATACATTTTATAATTGATTCTAGCGAAATATATATTTGCTTAAAATTGTTATAATACTTTAATTAAAAAACAGAAACAACGAAAATAATCTAATTGTAATTTATAAGAAATTTCTACATATACATATAAATTGCACTGGATATTTTTCTAACATTAAAGGATGTAATTTTTAAAACAAAATTTTAAATAAGTTTATAATCAATTTACATATTATTCGTATTATTCTTACATAAGTTATAAATAATTTTTGTTTTACTACAGATATAATAAAACATACTGAATTATATTCAACAAATCTAAATATATTCTTGTGATACAGAAAAAGAAATATGTGATACATATAAAACATCTTAGAAAAGATTGAAGAAAATTAAAAAAAATTATTAAAAGATAATTATTTTTAAATTACTCTAATATATTATATTTTTTTCACAAAATTTTTTTCATATGCTAAGCATAATACACGAAAAATATTTTCTGATGCAGCAATGCAGTAATTGTACCTGTATAAATTTTTTTTTATAACTTATATTTATAATTTATGTATAAAAATTATTTATGTATATTTTTTCTATTGCATTATTTGAGTTAAATTACATGATACTTAGATTTGTTTTGTTTAAATGATATTAGTATGAAAATTAGGACGTATTAATATGGACAATATTTGAAGTCATTTGAAAATTTTATATGGAAAAGAATGATTTTTGCGAGTTAAAATTAATAATTACTTTGAAAATGTATACTCTGAAATATATAAAATTATTGCATACATCAAAAAATAAAATTATGGATAGTTTGTAACATTGTATTATAATAGTAATGTTTGAAGTATTTATAGTAAAAGTACATGTAATAATTGTATTAAAATGTATTCAATGTATTCATTCATTATGCATGATCATATACATCGTACAATCTAATCATGAATTTATAAATACAACACACATTTTTATTCATTATGTAATGCAATGATATTATGAATAAATGTTAACAATTTATAATCTGTTAATATAAACAGAATATAATTTGTTATCAGATATACATGTATTCACTGAGATATACTAATAATTCAATTGTTTATTGTTTATATATCAACGATTTCTTGATCCATTAAAATGTTTTATTCTAAGTATTGAAAATGCACTTGCATTTTTTTATTATATCAACAGATTTCATACATAAAACAAATTGGTGAACTTACTTGATCATTTAAGTACACCAAAATTTAAAAATATCATTTATCTCAAAAATTAGACATAAATCTATTTAATTAAATATAAAATGATTCTGGACAATTAACATTATTACAATTCATTCATTGAAGATACATTTGCTGAATTATATATAAAAAAATTAATTTATCGCAGATTGTGTATATATAATGTTTTCTAATTGCAAATGTGCACAGCTGATTTCTTTTGATATTTCAATATCATAAAATTATATCATATATCATAATTAATTTCAATGAATTTATAATTTCATCTATTTATACTTATCTTTATACGTATCAAATACGAATTATTACAATTAATAAATTTAACATTATATATGTACAATGATATTAACGAAAAAAATTATTAAAAAAAATAATTAATTTAAATTGATAAACTGAATATATTTTTTAAATCTTCGATTTAACAAAACATTAACAATTGCTATGCACATTTATAAAATATTGTTTTATAATTCATGCATTGACTAAAATTATATATGTTTGACATTCTATATGATATATAGAAATACATTATAAAGATTTTAATAGATATTGTTTTCTTAAAATAAATTTTTTATAACAAATATTCATTGTGTATTGTTCTCTTAAGGCCAGTATTAAAATTTCAACTTGATAGATTGCATCTAAGAAACTTAATGTTCATTGCAGTGTCATTCGTTGATTAATTTTAAAAATTTTTATTTCTATTGTACAGATGTAGAAATGTACAATAAGAATTATAAACACTACACTGTATGCAGATGACAAAAATTTAAATAAGTAATCATAACTTGTAATAATGTGCTTTTTTTTTAAAATGCATTGATTTTCTATAAGAGATCTTTATTCAATAATTTGTTAGATTTCAAATATAATAAATAATACTAGAGCAAAATTTTATATTAAAAGGAATAGCTTAATAATTTTACAATAAGCTGATAATAAAGTTATAACATAAATCATGTCAATCATAAAATTATCATTCACCACATTAATTTTAAATATACAATAATGTATTAATACGTCAAATTTGGTTCTTTTCACATTGCATACAAACATGTTGATATAATTGATTAGTAATATGAAATTGTTCAATGAAAATCACTTTCAGAGTCAATATACAATTGAAATAATAAAAAATTGGATATATTTATTTGTATCACTTATTTTATCAGGCAGTTGAGATATATACACCTCTAATTATAAAATCTTTTCATCATTCGTTCTTCTTCATTTATTCATAAAGTATAAAAATCTTTGAAAAGTGTATATTATTATCTTAAAATTTTAATGCCTAAATAAAATTGTTTACATCTCACTTTCATATAATAAAATCGAAAGAAAATGAAATTATACAAACATGAATATACAAGATGACAATGACCAGAAAACGTTTCTTAAGTCTATGGTGTATATACCTCTTGAGATAAAATTTTAATAATATTTAGTTAAATGTACAATTTATAGTTACTTACGTAAAAATCGATGCGGATCTTTTATTGATTAAAATTAACTTTATTGCCATAATCCTGCATAATTACCATAAAGATTTACGGGAAGAGGTCCACCAGCGGTGAATAATCGAGTTCCTGATCCATCATAACAATGAGTATATATAGCAGGTGTATATTTTACATTTTGAAATCCGTCTATGTACTCTTCATCAGGAAACTGATATTATTATGAAAAAATATTATGATTAATATTAATATTAACTCAATCATATATATATAAAAAGAAAAAAAATTCTTAAATAAATTTTTAAACAATTTGGATAGTTTACTACACTTTTAATTTAAAAAAAAAAGGAATTTTAAAACATACCACATATCCTTTTGATGCTTTTAATACAACAATTCTGTTAGAATTAATTGATGATTCAAGATACTTTTGAGCTCTAACATCATAAAAGAACATCATTCCTAAGCCTGTTCCAATAGTTAAAACAGAACCTTGAAAACTAACAGATCGAATTCCACAACCGCTATATCTATAAAAAAAATATTATGATTGAATAAAAAAAAAAAAATCATAAGTTATAATAAATTTGAAGAAATTGAAATAATATTATATACCGTGAAGGTATTCTTTTTATAGGTTGCACAGTTCTTGCATCTAAAAGTAAAGTATATGAACGGCATCCTACAGCATAAACACCATCATCTTGTACAGCAAGACAAACATTTTCTTGACAAACTGGTAATTTTCTAGATATCTTTTGTCTAAAAGTCTCAGCAGACCAAATGTGAATGAAATTATTCAGAGTAATAGCAGCAATTTCTTTATATGTTCTATTGAAGACAAGAGCTCGTACTTTTTGTGCAGATCTACATTCCTTAACACACACAGGTTGAATCAACCTAATATAAAAAAAAATAATATACTTATAAAATATATTTGTTAATATGTTTGTTTATATTTTATATATTTTTATAATATTTTATAATATATAATACAAATATAATTTTTATTTTATATACCTATGCGTTGGCACATCTGCTTTATCAGGAGCTTCAGCAAGATCATTATCTATACGCCATAAAGCCATTTTGGTATCTCTAGAACCAGAAACTAAAAATTCATCATCTAACCAACACATATCAAAAATCCAATCTCTATGACCACCTTCTCCTACGCAAACTGGATCTAAAGTTGGTAGCCTATATATTGCTATTTCATTACTATTTCTTGCTCCAGTTGATAGGAGAGTTCTGCAAAATTATAAATTTTAATAATGCAATAATGAATTTTAAATTTAAATGAGAATTATTTTTTATTTAAATACCTAGAAGGATTAATTTGAACAGAATGTATACCACATTGCTGCTCAGGAACAGCACCACCTCCTGAATTAATTTGTCTTCCATGTAGAGATGGTATTTGATCTAATTTTTGTGTTGCTACATCATAAACCATCAATTTGTTGCATTTTGTACCAAATACTACTTGCCTATCACTTAACCATTGAGAACAAAAGACTTTATTCATGTTGTTTAAGCTAACTGAATATTCTTTAAATAAATCATGAGTTAATATGTGTCGAAATCCATATTCTTGATTAATTTTTCTCACTTCTCTTGTATTTGTTTCTCTTGCACGTACATAATCCACAAAATTAAATGAAGTTCTTAAAAATTGTTTTCCTTCACTTACAGTCTCTGCTTCATCATCACTTGATTCATAACATATAAAATCATCTGGTTTGTCCGACTTTCTATTTCTTTCCAATCTCAAAGCTAATCTAGAATCAAAAAGACTACTTCCTTATAATGGAAATTGTTTAAAATAGTACTTTATAAGAAAAGTAATAAAAATTATAAATGGTCTCTAATTTAACATTTTTTATATGGTTTACCTTCTAGCACGACGTTCTTCTAAACGAGTTCCACTAGCACAGGGAGGATGTCTACCATAAACAGTCATTCGCTGTGTTTCAGCCATTATGTTTAAATTTTATTATTTATTAATTAATATATATTAGAATATTTAAATGTTGTCGCATATAAAATTTATTTGATAACTTGTTGTAATTATCCTTACTTATATAATATGAGACTATTTTTAACAATATAGTCTCAAAAATATTTTAAATGTCTTTGATTACAATATCCCAATTAAATTGTTCTACCTAAATGGAACATAAATACATGTTCCTATCATTATAAGCAAAGCCAAACTTTCTTTGTTTGACCTCCAAAAAAAGGAACTATTAATTTAAAAAACTTGCTTATATTCATGCATTAATATAATCATTGTAATGATCTCTCAAACATTGTAGAAAAATCAAAGTATCCAAAATAAATATCCAACACTAATAAAGGAAATTTCAATCTCCTCTGGTGTAATATATTTATAAACGTGGTATGCAATGAAATAACAAGAAACTATCTTGGCAGCAATTCTTCTTTGACTGAAACAAAATCAAGCTTCAAATTCTTTTCTGGCTTTTTAAAATAATCAAAGCTTTTCGATCTCAAAGATTATCGAATACTTTTATAAACATTCAAGTTTTTTTAATTATTTATAAAATATAACAAACCTTAGTAAAACGGCAATTGCCGAATCTATCGTGATATCTAACCGAAATTTTTCAGATGAAATCTTTTCTTTTATCAGATGTACATCATAATTATATAACTTGCATACACTTATAGATGATAATATGAACATCAAGGTTTCGTATTTAAATTATTCAAAGAAATAGAAAGAAAATCCACAAAATTCATGATAAGTAAAGAGACCTTTGAAGCACTAAGCAACTAACCATCGCCATATTGAAACGAACAGCAAAACCATAGAAAATTTAACAAAGCACACTGAAATCTTCTTAACATATCGTTCAAAATTCTTCCAAAATAATTTTCAGGAGTTTTTGTATTTAATAATTACAATTGGCAAATAAATTTTTGGACAATTACAAAAATCAAAGGGAGCAACTTCCATCAATTGTCAACAGGAGAAGTTCATCCCCTCTACTGAATTTTATTACAGAATTACAGCTGACATTTTGAAAGAAATGGCGTCCTTCAAGAAAATAAATACTAAAGTATTTGCAAGATCAGGTTCTGAATTAACTCCAGATATTATATACTGGAAAAAATATAGTGTAAGTATATTAAAATAATAAAAACAATTTAATTTTGTTGCTATAGTAATTGTATCATTTAATTTATAATACACACGTGTATAGAACTTAACCTAAATAAACAATATTTAAGATTATGTTATTAAATTTATAAAAATGTTTTTATATAATTTATTTAACAGGCTCCTGTTTTAGTTAAGGAATTTGGACCAATTGATTATATTGATTTTTCACCAGTAGAACCTCATTATTTTGCAGTCACTTGTTCAGTAAGAGTACAAGTGTATAATCCAATTACAAAATTAGTAACAAAAAATCTTAGTAAATTTAAAGAAGCTGCTTATGGTGGATCTTTTCGTAGTGATGGCAAACTACTTTGTGCTGGTGGTGAAGAAGCTGTAATTAGACTCTTTGATGTCAATGCGAAAAGTCTTCTTAGACTTTTTTCTGGACACAAAGCTGCTGTACATAGAACTTTCTTTACTGCGGATAATGTTCATATTGCTTCATTTTCTGATGACAAAAGTGTTATTATTTGGGATATACCTAGTGAAACACAAATAATATCTTTCAATGAACATTCAGATTATATCAGAGCTGGAGCAGTTAGTCCCATTTCTAGTGACATATTATTATCTGGTGGTTATGATAAACATATATATATGTATGATATAAGAACAAGTAAAAAAATTTTCAGTGTTAGCCATGAAGCTCCTGTTGAAAGTTTATTATTTTTACCTTCTGGTGGAATATTTTTATCTGCTGGTATGAATGATAATGATATGAAATATTTTAAATAATATTTTTTTTACAACAATATTTCACATATTTTATTATATTTTTTATAATTATAAATAGGAGGAACAGAAATTAGAGTATGGGATGCACTTGCTGGTGGCAGATTACTTGCTAAAATTACTCAACATCATAAAACTGTAACATGCTTGAAAATAGCTTCAAATGGACGTAGAATTTTATCTGGTTCTCTAGATAGACATGTAAAAATTTATGATTCTGGAACATATAAGACTGTTCATTCTTTGGATTATCCAAATTCTGTTCTTAGTATAGGAATTAGTGTAAGAAAATATATTTTACATTTTTAATTATATATTAGAAATTAAAATAAAATATTACTAAACATTAAATTATATTTTATAAATTATTATCACATTACAAGAAACTATTATCACATATAATTTCTTGCAGTCAAATGATGAAACCATAGTAGCTGGTATGGTTGATGGTTTAATTTCTGTGAGAAGAAGAGAAGAAGATGTAAAAACTGAGAAACCACAACGTAAAAAAGTATCATATAGATATTCTGGAAAAAATTTACACATACATCAAGTCGATGTTATTGTACATGAAGAACTTAAAGAAATTATGTCCAAACATGATACTTATTTAAGAAAATTCGAATATTCAAAAGCTTTAGATTCTGTAATGGCAAGTTATATAGTAAATAAAACGCCGCATGTTACAGTTGCGCTCATGCAAGAGCTTATCAGAAGGCAGGGTTTAAAACAAGCTTTTAGTGGTAGAGATGGCAAGTCACTTGTAAATATTCTTAAGTTTTTAAACAAATATATAGGAAATATTCGATTTGGAAGGATACTACTACATGTAGCTAATATATTAATGGGTAGGCTATAATTTTTTATATCTAATTTTTATATTTTTATTATATCTAATTTTTTTTCAAAGAATTTATTTTTATATATTTATTATATAATTTAGATAAATATTTCGATTTTTTAATATAGATGTCTATGAAGATCATTTAGATGAACTTGCAGCGGAACCACGGAAAATGTTCAGTATTTTAGCAGCAAAATTAGAAGAAGAAGAAAATTTAATATTAGCATTATCAGAATTACAAGGAAAATTGCATATGATATTATCTGCCGCGGAAATTATACCTCCTACACCAGTAAAAGATATTCAAACTTTAGAACCTTCAAATGCTGCACAAAAAAATTTAATTTTAAGTATAGCATGAATATAATTTAATATAAACTTATTTATGTATAAAAAATCTGTACATACTTTTCATAAATATTTTTATAAAATTGAATTATGTTACATATTTTTAATTCTAAAAATGTTTATTATGGATATAAATATTTAAAATACAATAGACCAGAGAATTTCATTCTTCTTAATTTACATTACTTAAATGCATATAATACGTATTTCTATAGCATAAATAATTAAAAAATGTATATCAAATTTTATCTATTTTTATACTAGAATCTACAGATGTACATAATTACTTTATTTCACGTAATTTTTTTGAGACATTTTTGCCAGGCAGCTGAGGATGGTTTATCAGGCATTATCCATCCAATTGGTATTGCAAATGCATCATTATCTGAACTTATATATTTATCCCAAGCAGTTCTAGAAATAAAATAATTATTTACAAATTTTTATAATGTAAGAAAATTTATAATAATAATAATATTGTAACTACTCACCTTATGGAAACAAAATTATTTAAGTCTGAATTAAATTGATCAAATGTGATTTTTCTTCCAAATAATACTTTTTCCCATTCATCAAAAAGATTTTTCTTTTGTTTTTCAATTCTCTTTTCATTATCATTCTTTAACATTAATTTTAGACCTTGTTCTTCTGTAGAATATTCATGATCAAGCATTGACCATTGTTCTGTTAATTTTGCTGAATATAAAAACATAATTATTAAATATAATTAATATTAATTATTAAAATATTTATTATAAACTAATATTGAAAAATAGTAATACCAATAATATTATTAAATGCTTCATCAGCTGCTGAAGATAAATGTTCTCCTCTTGCTCTGGCAATATTAGCTTTAACATTACGCAAATTTCGTAATTCTTGTAACAATCCAAGATATTTCCTAGCATCAATTTTTTTCCCTCTAACATCAAATAAAACCATATCAGCATCTTTACGTAAATTTTCTTCTTGCTTTTCTTTATCTATTACGGCTTGTTCTTTCCTAATCCACAAATCAATCTGTGCATGCATTCTTACTCTTCTTTCCATTTTTATTATTTTTTCATTTTTCCATTTCTCCTTTTTAATTTTTTCTCTTAATCTTTTTTTCTTTCGTTTCTCTAAATCTTTTTTTAATTGATTTAATAAATTTTGTCCTCTAATAGGTTCTAATAATTGAACAATTTCTTCCTTTGCTGCATTACAAATATTTATTTTCTGTTGCCACTCATCTTCCATCAAATGTTGGCTATTCTTAAATTCTGCACAAATTATCTTTAATTTCTCATTTAATTTATATGCAGATGCTATAATATTTTTAATTATTGCAATTTTTGATTTTCTGCATATATTTCTCTGGTCATTTATATTATTAAATTGATCAATTTCTAAGAGAAAATTTTCAATATTTTTTTCATCTGCTTGTCGAATTCCTAAATTAATTACTGATGTAGCATTTTCATTTTCAAATGTACCAACTGGATAAATATAATTTTGATATATATTCACATTATAATTTGTATTATAAATATATTGATTCATTAGATGAGACATATTATAATTTGGATCCATATAATTTTGTGTAGGATCCTCTAAATTTTGATCATTAAACATAATTATTAAAGACTATTTAATTTGAAAAAATATAAAATATCTTAATACTATCACTTTCTTTATGCATTAAATGATTACTTTAACTTGTTTATAAATCTTATGTTATTTTAGATGAAAATATAGTTTTCTCAACTTTCCACAATATTTTAATAAAATTAGTAGGCTTTGTTTTTTTAACACATTTCCATAATTTCTCCTTCTTTAGGAAGTTGAGCTTCTGCTTCTTGTAATATTTTTTCTGCTTCAATATAATCTTCAATCTCTTTCAAATCTTGCTCTGTATCCAAAATTTTTTTAAGTTCTTCAAAAGCTTTTGCAAGACGTCGTTGACAATCTGGTACCATCATAAGAGATTCTTGAAGTACTTCTTCTTGTTTTTTTATATCATAACCATCTTTATCTGTAATAAAATTAAAGTGATATAAAAATTATTATATTTGAAAGAAATTAAAATAAGATGAATATTTAATTGTGATATTTTATATAAATAAATGTATAAGCATTATAATATAGCATATCAACTATTGAATCAAATAAAAATTTTGAAATATTAAAAATGAAAAATATACGAAAATATTTGCTAAATAACACAGCTATTGAAAGGATAAAAATAACAAAAATAACTAGCTTTTGATGGCATTTTTCAAAATATTTTTCTCACCCTGTTCCTTTAATTTTTGTATCCTTTCACGTTGCTGTGCTGCTTCTTTTTCATACGTGATTTTTTCTTTCGCGAGACGTTTCACTACTCCAGTCTTAATTTTTAAAATTCTTATACGAGGATCAGACATTGTTTTAATTGAAATATTTTACTTCGGATGCAGAAAATGAAGCGTTTACTGATTAAACAAGGTTTTCCTTATAAGGTAAGATGAATAGCTATAAATGAAATCAAGAAAAATTCTATAACATAAAGGTTATACCGATTGATCGTAAACTCATATTCTATGAACTTATTAAGAATGACGATCATTTTAATCGATTATTTAATTTATGTTTAATATTTTATAAATTTTAAATAAAATAATTTTTACATTGAAATTAATATAAAATTTGATTCAAACAAAATACGTCTGTTTTTCATTTTTTTAAAAAATATTTTTATATGTATTGATATATTTACTTACTTATTTTTGTATACAGAAAAATTATTTGAATTAGGTTAGGTTAAAATCGTAACAGTTATCGTTATATATGGCACTACTAATAGAATTCTATGATATAAAGGTTATACTGATTGATAAGACTCATTCCATTAACTTATATTCTTATAACATGAACTTGTCGAACTTGAGAATGTCGATCATTTCAATCGATTATTTAATTTGTATTTAATATTTTATAAATTTTAAATAAAATAATTTTTATATTGAAATTAATATAAAATTTGATTTAAACAAAATATGTTTGCAATTTTCATTTTTTTAAACAAATACTTTTACATATATTGACTTACTTATTCTTATATTTTTATATAGAAAAATTTGAGTTAGGTTAGGTTAAAATATTAATGGCATCACATTTTATCTTTAATTTTATTTGTATCATTTAAATAATAACATATCATTATAATATATCATTATGATATAAATATTCATATATATATATATATATATATATATATATATATATTATAATTAAATTATATTCATAAAAAATAAAAATCAAATATATTTATTTCTATGAATAATATAGATTTTATTTCTAGTATTTTTTATAATATATATATATATTAATGTTTTATTATATATATTAATGTATATACATTATATATACATTATATTTTACTATATACATATATTAACATATACATAATATGTATACATATAATAGAATATTAATAAATATGATTTCATAAAAAATGTTAAATATAAAATCTATATCATTTACATTTATTTAAAATAAATATATATATTGAAATAAAATAAAACAAATAAATATATTTGATTTTTATTTTTTATCAATATAATTCAATTAATAATTTCGCGCCATTTTATTTCGAACGTTCGAGACTTGCAGAAAACTTCAAAGAGTATCGTAGTATATCCCCCCACACTTCCGCAGAAAAACGCTACATCGTGTCTGCATTGAAAGGTGCAGTGAGAGAAACAGAAGGGTTAATTGTGTATCAGTTTATCCCTGATTTCCCAAGACATGTAACAAATAAAAGTGACAAGACTAAAATGCAAGACGATATTTTTCCGGCTGCAGAGAAAATTCTTTCCGACATCGAAAATGTGGTGAAGAAGAATCCGTCACTGTGAGTGTTTTCTTAGATACATTACGAGGGCGGAGTCTTTAAAAATATCTGTGAAATATACTCTAAATTCTTAGATTTGATACATTAGCATATTTATTATATAGACAATATCATGTTTCATATAATGTTTTATAATAGAATTAAATCATTATCGAATCATAACATTATCGTCGTACGTTTTAATCAAGCATGAGCACATACGACGCTTTATAAAAAGTTTACATAGTAAATATAATATCAGCAATGTTGGTATCTAGTATTTACAATAGAAAACTGGCGCTTTCGTTTTTTATTATTAAATCTTAATAATTATTTTTGAACATATCTTTTTCTTAATTTCTCTTTCTTTTTTTCTCATATACATATGTACATTAAATATATATGTAATATATTATATATATATATACGCAAATATAACATTATAATTGCATGCATCATTGATATCAATAATCGATGATAATATATGTCAAATTAAATATATTAAAAATATAATTTTATATTAATATTATATATGTCTAAAAGTTAGTATTTTATAGCTTTTTATAAATATTTTTTATTTTTTATATTATTATATAATTTATAATATTTTATGACATGATTTAAATATTTTTCAAATATTTCATATTTAAAATTTATTATTATAATTACTAATTTACATCTAATATTTAAAAAAAATATATATTTTGTTAAATTATATAAATTAAATTAGGAATGTTTATATTAAAAAAATCCTGTTTATTACGCGTTGATTCATTTTTAATTTCAGAAAAAGTTTTGAAATAATCCCTGCTGAAGACAATGAGAACAAATCACCAGTATTTCATCAGGAAGATTGTCTCGGATTGGCATCGTGGTGCGTGCAACCACTTTACTGTTATGCTTATCGTCGGCTCTTTGAACTTCGACAAAATAAACACAGACGTGAGGAACCTAGTACAATAGCAAGATGGTTATTGGGCGCATTATTATTAAATCCAGATGTTACGACATTTTGGAACATGCGACGGGAATTAGTAAGAAATCATAAGTTAGAAGCATCCGAAGAATTCTTTTTTTCACGATTGGTGCTTTATCATAAGCCAAAAAGTTTCGAGGCGTTCGCCTATCGACGATGGTTATTATCATATATATTGAACAGTAAAGACGGACATTATGATCCAGAATCGGTGGAATCGCCGCTTTGTAGGGAATTGGACATAGCAACTACGTGCGCGGAAAGATACGCAAGTAACTATCACGCTTGGAGTCATAGGCGTCATGTATTGACCCTTCGTGAATCACGTGGATTTACATATCCGAGTCTGGAAACAGAATGGAAGAATTCGCTCGCTTGGTGTCAACGGCATGTGTCGGATTATAGCGGGCTTTCCTATCGACAGTTCCTACTGAAAAAATTCATGTTTGAATTCAAGGAACTACCGAAGGAACTGTCTATGAAATACTCGGATGTCAGGGAGCAATGGAAAGAGGAACTATTCGTTTACATTAAGTCAAACATCAGTGAAAAAGGGAACACCCATCAATTGCAGAGGCTATTTAATGCTACAAACGCGGAATCTGAAGCAACTACTTCATCGAAAATGAAACAATATGCATATTTCCATGCTTTGTCATATTGGCTAGAAGAATGCCATGCGAATGATAGTGCTATTTTCTTGTACAACGATCACGAGGCTCTTTGGTGCCATCGTAGATTCCTCGCGTATCTTCTTGTGCATTTTATGGCATTGAAGCATTCTTACCACGAAGATGAGTACGATGTTGATAGCCGATCCATTGACAAATCGATTGAAAAAAAAAATGTTCAAAAAACATTAGCTACGTTAACGAACGATGATGTGATTTTGTGCCACGATTTTCTCGTGCAAGCATTCCATGCATGCACTAACAAAATTGCTGATCTCGCTACCAAACGAGATCAACACGAGAAGATGCTAGTTGAGAGATTTTTTAAATTTCTCCAGAGCATTGGATTTGAAATTAGATCGTGATCTCGTTGCGTCCAGGTTTTACATTGAAACGAAAGATAAAATATACGCAATAAGACAATTTTAATTGGGCATGGATCATATGCCATTGTAAAAATCATGCAATAACTTTTATGTTCTGTATTTCATACAGACATTATTCTTAGGCGTATATTCTATGTATGAATTATATTTCAATAGTGCTCTCTCGTTTGATCTGTTGCGCAGTGAACTCTGTGCACATAAATCAGTGCTGTCCACGAGAGGGATCTCTTATGCGACTTTGTTCCCTTTTACATGTCATAAGAGTAAAAAGAACTCAGAAATAGATCTAATATTTTAGATTTTCTTCTCTTTCTATCTTAAAACGAATGAACGTGAAAAAAATGAGAATATGAAAGATATTCTGAAACTGGACAGCACTGTCATAAATGATGTAGCATCGTTTATGATACAAGATCTAATGTACAATGTAAATGAAAATGGAATGAGTATCGATACTTATTTTTGAGACATTTACCGTATATTGTTTAAGAAAATTTTCAATAATTGAAGACGATATATATTGTATCGTAATTAACAGAAAAAAAAGGAGAAACCGGAAGTTGGATAACGTTTGATTTTTTAAACGTTATCCGATATACGAAAAAAATAAGTATACTATGATTGCGTGGTAAAGAAGAAAAAAAGTGTCTTTTGAGGCTATGGGGAAGTATTATTATGGGGTAAATGTGTATAGTGGAACGTTGACAAAGTATAAAATGAAAAAAGAAAAAAATGTTAGTTTTGTAATCATGTGTTTTTAGTCACCTTATTAGAATAGCAAAGGCCCGCGAATGCCGGCCATTTACATCGTCAAGCCAAATGTTTTGACGCCACTAGTACATATACGATATTGGCCACGTTGTCCTCCTTTGGCACGACAATCTGACCAAAAATAAATCTCTAGACTTTTGTCTGAATTTCTCGTCAGTCTACCGGGAACGGTCGTTAAATGCGTACGATTGTCAGATTTCTCGTCATCAAGTCCTATAACTTCCGTTTCATTGTTACATGTTAATAAAGTTCAGTGAACCTTGTCGACAACAAATTTTTGTTTTTTTTTTTCTTATATTATTTTACTGATGAAAATCTACCCTTGATGTATGCGTACGCATTTCCTCATAAAAAAAATTTGATCCTAATGCGATCTCTCAATTGTTTTAACCTTAATCCTTCAATATTCTTTTCTAATTCTAAAAATTAATATAGGAAAAAGAGCACAAAATCGCGGGAAATTTTTTTCATTATTATAGTTGCAAATGTGAAAATTTTGATACTTAAAATCATTAAAAAAGAAAATATTTTATTTTATTTTGATTATGTTATTGGCTCATAAAAAATATTATTAAACAAAAATGTTAATTAAAAATATCTTTATTAAGTACTATAAGATATTTAAAATTTTAGAAAAAGATAAAAGATAACAAAATGATAGTATACATATTATAGCATATATTCATAATATTAATCGATATATGATTTTAGTTGATCGATATAAGATATTATTCATCGATCAAGAAATCAATCGATAGTTCTCATTGCAAATACTTCATCTAGAGTGACAAAAATCTATATCTGTTTTAAATGTATTATTATCAATGGATTACTTTTAATATATTATCGAAACTTGCACGTGACATTTATCTATTACGTTCATTGGTCGATTAGTTCGATTGCCACAAGGTACGAGAAGTCGGTCGATAGGCATCCTCAGAAATTCTACTAGTACGATTATTTCAAGAAAGCAACGTGATGAAGTGTGCAGTGGCGGGTCGGACGAGTCATTTTCTCTTAATTAGTTTATTCGAAATCGAATAATTCAAAAGAATTGATGGCATCTGAAACCAGATCTATGATTCAAAATAACCTCGATAATTTTTTGAAGCAAGATCGGATGCGAACTGTTCAAAACAAAGGTAAGACAAATATTTTTCTATATTTATCATACTATTTATAATAACTAATTATTTTTTTATTGATTTCTATTTTTTTCTAATTTTTTTTAAAGATAATTTATTTTAATATTTTTATTGTTTACTTGATGAATGTAGATGCAATTTTTAATTTTTTGTTGACATTAAACGTCAACATATTATATTATCAAATAAATATTTGATTACTATTATATATATTTATATATATTTATATGATTATTATATATATAATTTAATATATTAAAATTTATGTGTATTTTGATGGTCTAGATATTTTTATTCCAAATATTAAATCATTTATATTTTTATTCTATATATAAATATATATATTATAAATATAAGTATATTTTTTTAATGAATTAATCATTATATGTATATTGTATGTGTATTAATATGTGTTGTTTTATATCGGATACTTATAGCATTATGAGTATATTTTAATTAAAAGCATTAGATGTAAAAGAAAATTTTAATTTCATAAATTCATTATATTTTATACATTTAAATATATAAATATAGAGTGTTTAATTATTTTTTTTCAATAAATTATTTTTATTATTGTTAAGTGTTAATATGATATTTTCGAAAACATTGCTCCATGAAGTTTTTAAATAAAAATATCTATAAAAATGTTTTTTCTATTATAATGAAAATAAATTTATCTTATTTTCTTACAGATTATCCAATATTATTAATAATACGATGATATTAATGCAACAACGAATGTTTTTTTTTAAATTATATTTGCTTTTAATAATTATTAATTAAAAATAAATTGCTAAATTAAATTATCAATTCAGTCAAAATAAATTATCAAAATCACTCTTACAAAATAATCCTTTACATAATGAAAAATTTTCAAATAAAATAATATTATAATTCAATGCATTTGTGATAAAAATTAGAAATAAAGATAGAGAATTATCGAACCTTGACCTATTGCCCAATTAACCATATATAGATTCACCCCTTCCTTTCTTGATCCTTTATTCATAGACTTTGCGGTATTTATGAGAAAGTTCAAAGCGACATCATGTTTCACTTAACGTCAAGAATGTGAAAATTTTATAATAATTCATGTGGTGAATAAATACACGTTTTGTCAAATCAATAAAAATTTCTTAAGAGAATTGATACATCAACAAGCAAGAGATCTGTGTAATGTTCGTAAGAAATACTTTGTTTAAGTACGTAAAATAATAAAAGCTTTTCAATTATATTTCATATTTCTATAATATTTTCTTAGATTATAAATAATTATAAATATAAATCCAACAATTGAGAGGCTAAGAATTTAAATAAGTAAAATTTATTTATTCATGTACATTTTATTTATGTACATTCTTTAAATTAAATCATGTGAATCACACAATATAAATATTTTTCAAGAAAAAAATATCTTTGAAAAGTGCAGAAAAATTAGAAATAATTGTTAGAAATAAAGTTGATGATTTATTATAAAATTTAGAAATTATTTTTAAAGATTGAAAAACAATATTAAAGAAATTTGATATATATATATAGAGCTTTAAATATTTATTTATGTATTATGTAAAAAAATAACTGTATAATTATTCAGTTATTTATCTTATGTTTAAATGTAGAATGAAAAATTAATATATTTAATAATAAATTTTTATAATCATGATATGATGATGAATTTAAAAGAAAATAATAATAGGATAATTTTATAGATATTTTATTTATATTTATGTGTAGCAATTTTAGTTTCTGTAAAATGATTTCTTATTATCGTTTTCATTACAGAAATTCTCCAGATATTACATGTTATCTATAATATTTTAAAAATATACACATTATCTTATTATCATTTTACAGACATTGTACAATTAGACGCATTCTCTTGAAAGAGAAAAAATACAAATACGTTTTGCACTGTATGTGAATATAGTACAGATAAAAGTTTCATATAGTATAATATCATTATTGTTAAACGAACTTTAACCCCACGATGATTGGCATCTATGCAACTGTATATACATATATGTTACATATAACATTTTACAAACAGGAATCATTTGTTTACTTTATGCATCAAAGCTTATACTAAGCGAAATAAATTTTTTTACACGAAAAAATTTATATATAAATAGAAATTCTTTATGTTTAATATTATTCTTTTTTATATTTATGCATATATAACAATATTATATTTTTATATATGTCCATATAATGAGCTTACATTGCTTATATAATAAGATGACATCAATAAAATAATATTTAGATTTTATAAATTAATAAAAGAGGGATTAAATAATGAATAATATTAAATTTTAAAAAAATATAATACTTAACAATTAATTTATAATACTTACTATTTACTTAATATATACTTAATATAATTTATTAAATTAATATCTAATATTAAAAAAGTTCTTCTATTAATATTATTCATTTATTTATTTTTATATTTATATATTTGTTCATTTGTGCTTAAATACGATATGATGCGAAAGAAAAATATATTCTTTATAAAATAAAAATAATTTTTATAACGTTTTTGGAATTAAGCAGAGGAAATAATTTTCCAATACATAATTTTTTTGTATTCTAACACGCTCATGTGTTGTTGCATAAATTTATTTTCACGTTTATCCCTCCAAGAAAATTGATTTAAATGTTAAATTGAATATAACACCGAATGAAATTTTATTTTTAGATCTATTTAATCTTGGCATAGTCATCGCAAACAAAGTGTAGAGTCCTTCGTGCAATGCATTTCATTATGATTATTGCGAACTACATTACATTTTATAATTCAAATAAACAAATATCATCTTTGTCACGAGTTTCTTGGCAAAAGAATGCGTTATTCTATTATTCTATTCATTGTATAATGACGAACGCAGATTCATGTTCCCATACGAATGAAAAAAATTAATGAAAAAAATTTAATGAAAAAAATCATTTCCGTATAAAGTACATACGTTCTCCTTGTCACGAAATATGTAACTCTGAATTCACGACCTTCTCCATAAAGAACGGACGTGCACATATGCGCTCACTTAATACTAATTGAGACCGAATTAAC